CAGTTTAAAGGATATGATGAGTGGAATGATCAGAGTCCTTTCCTTTACAGGACCTGGAATGCACACGGAAGAGCACACACCTCAGCGATCGAGGAACAGGAGACACTTGGAGGAACACAGGCGGTAAGTAATGCAGGCAGTATTCACATGGAAGCAGTTGAAAAGTCAGAGAGTCCTCTACGTGTGTACGTGACCGGACAATGAGGGTGTCTGAGGTGTGTGCTTTTATGCAGGCTGGTTGATGAGGTGCTTGATTGGTGACAGGTGCAGGTGCTCAGTACTCAGGTACAGAGATCGTTGGATCGTTGTGGTGGTGGAGCCTGGCCGATCTGTTACAGTGGGTGGCTACACTTTTATTGTTTAGAAAGTGACCAATAATCCAATAATCTTATTTTATATGTAGATTGATTTCTCCTCTCGAAACTGTTTCTCAAGCGCATTCTCTCATCACCGCTGCGCGTGAATATGACGTATCACAACAACACTACAGAGACCTGAGGAAAAGCTGGTATCGACACAAGCTCCGATGCCTCGGTTCAAATGTCACATCGCTACATATATTTAAAGGGGTCATAAGATGCGATTTCAATTTTTCCTTTCTTTTTGGAGTGTTACAAGCTCTTAGTGCATAAAGAAGATCTGTAAAGTTGCAAAGACTAGTCTCAAATCCAAAGAGCATTCTTTATAAAAGTTCAGAGTCAACCACGCCTACCTAAAACGGCTCGTTCTAACATGCCCCCACATATCTACGTCACGATGTGGGAAGATTTGCATAACTCCACCCAAATGTTCACACAAAGAAAGAAGGCGTAACTTTTATTCTTGCTGTAGTATTGTTGTTGCCGCCTCCGCCATGTCCTGAAGGCACTGTGTGTTTCGTTGTGAAAGCGAAACTACTTTGTTTGGCCTTCCAAAAGAGGACGATAGCCGCTTCGTCATGCCTGGAGCTGATAGTTTAACGGTATAACTACTGCCATGTCAGCAGCAGCCTTTTCATCTATTTGCTATAATTATCGCTTGCATTGTGCCTTCAGTGGAGGGTTTGGATCCACCCTATCTCTTGGCTGTAATGTTACAACTAGGTATCATGAGGTATGTGCAGCTTTTGCAACTTGTTTGCCGTTTCACTCACAGTAACAAGTCAAGTCACCTTTATCTATATAGCGCTTTTAACAATACAGATTGTGTCAAAGCAACTGTACAGCATTCAATACGAAAATAGTGTGTCAATAATGCAAAATGACAATAGTACATACTCAATTTTCAGTTAAAGGCTGTTCATCATTGAATTCAGTGATGTCATCATACAGCTCAGTTCAGTTTAAATAGTATCTGTTAGGGATGGGAAGAGTCACCGATTCGCTCGGTGCATTGGCAAAAAAAGTTAACGATGCGATGCATCGGTTTAAAAAGTGTGCATCGGATACAAGTTGGCATTTGTATCGATGCATCGTTTCTAACATATTTGCATCGGCAAAAAACTATTTATATATAATTACTAGTGGATGTAACGGAAGAGGGCTGACGCAACAGGTTAGTATATCAATCAAATTTATTTGGTCACAGAGTACGGGTGTAGGATCCAGGTGATGACACGGTGAGTGTATAGTTCGTGGAACAGTTTAAAGGATATGATGAGTGGAATGATCAGAGTCCTTTCCTTTACAGGACCTGGAATGCACACGGAAGAGCACACACCTCAGCGATCGAGGAACAGGAGACACTTGGAGGAACACAGGCGGTAAGTAATGCAGGCAGTATTCACATGGAAGCAGTTGAAAAGTCAGAGAGTCCTCTACGTGTGTACGTGACCGGACAATGAGGGTGTCTGAGGTGTGTGCTTTTATGCAGGCTGGTTGATGAGGTGCTTGATTGGTGACAGGTGCAGGTGCTCAGTACTCAGGTACAGAGATCGTTGTGATTGGGTGGTGGTGGAGCCTGGCCGATCTGTTACAGTGGGTGGCTACACTTTTATTGTTTAGAAAGTGACCAATAATCTGTGACCAATATTTTATATGTAGATTGATTTCTCCTCTCGAAACTGTTTCTCAAGCGCATTCTCTCATCACCGCTGCGCGTGAATATGACGTATCACAACAACACTACAGAGACCTGAGGAAAAGCTGGGATTAAATTCCAAAATCTGACTTTAAATAACCTAACAAATCAATCGGAGCTAAAGCAGTTCCCTAAGTGACAATGTAAATTCACACAATCTCACTAATTTGTGGACGCTTAATCTAAAGCAGCCCTTAATGTCGATCATGGATCAAATCGATCCACCATGGCAAATAGCTAATATATTTGTCATTTGAGACGTTGTGTTTTGCTTAGTGCATAACTGACATGTCACGAGAATATTTTTTAAGTCATGCAAATATATCCATTTTGCTTGTTGTCAGGAGTAGGCGAGGCATACGCGAGTGAACGAGCGCTACTGCGCACATGCACGCTAAACAGACGGAGCACAATAATTCTGAGTCAAATATGCATTTTGCTCAAATATTCGTTGTTGGACATTAAATGTGCCTTTTGTATAATTTTAAAACTACATATAGGTGTATTCTAATGATAGCAGTAACTGTTAAAGGGACTATTGTAATGGGTAAATAAAATGTAAGATAATACAGTCCTAATTACTAGCTTACTACTTAATTACTACTTAATGTGTGTTTCTTATAGCAGTTAAAATGTAGTTTTAATTTAGTGATTTTAACTTTTAGTTTAGTGATTTTAATGCTTTAAAGAGCAATGTTAGATTGTAAAGTTCTAATGCTATCTGCTCTAACTATAAAAGTTACTGCTGTCATAAAACCAGAGTAAAAGGTTGCATGGCTATTATAGTATGTGAGAGAGTCAGTGGTAATATCGATGTGTTCCTATTGTTCAGTGTTAGAGGAGCTAAGCTTAGTCTGACAGTTTGCCTGCCCTGGACCAGGTTAGCTTTCCAGCATAAGTTGCCACAGTGACTGATTTTGATCTTTTTAAAATTTGTTTTATGGAACCAAATCATTTGAGTCAGACTAACTGAAATAAGCCTGGCCTATTTGGTAAACTTGTTTTATGAAACAGGCCTCGAGTCGTTAGAAGTCAGTAGTCACATAAGTTAATTTATGATTTGCTGTTTGTCTGAACCAAAGAAATAAATGCGATCATATTTTTTCCATTGCATCGAATCGCATTGTGTTGAATCGGATCGAATCGAAATCGGATCGCACTGCATCGTAATAGG